TAAAAAAAAAAAAAAAATTATCTCCTCTCTCTCTAATCTCTCTATACTCCCGGTTTCACCGGCTCCCGACCTCCAAAAAATTTCGAACAACTCTCACGCACAGGCAAAGGATATTTCATTCTCGGGGTACGCTTTTTTTTTATTACATTTAAAATCTTTTTTTATTTTTTTTTTGTTTCGGTTTCCGGCCGGCGGCCAATGCCGGCCGGATTATAGGGGGCCGGCAACCGATCTCAACTGGATTGGATGGAGCCGCCCGAGCCATAGGCGGCCGCGAACGCGGGCCGTCCAGACCAAAGGCCTGTGTCTTTGGCGGCCGGTCGTTCCGTGTCGGGCTGCAGGCGGTCCATTTTTTTTTGTAATTTGTAAATATTAAATATAAAATAAATTTTATTTTAAAATATTAATATATATTTTATATAATTTCATATATATTAATAAAATTGATTTTATATATTTTACAAAATTTCATTAAATAATTAACGAAATTATATAATTTCATTAATATAATTACACTTTATTTTATATAAATAATATATATATATTAGTGAAATGATAATTAATATTATGATATAAGTTGAAAAAATAGTATAATTTATTAATTAATTATTTTGTAAATTATATAATCAAAAATTATAATTATATTAATGATATGCTTACAAATAACTATTAAATTGACTATTAATTATTTTTAGGAAAATAATTACTTGTAATAATTAATTATACATTTTATGGAATAATAATAATTAATACTATGAGGAGTTTTGATTAGTTTGTGTAAATATTATTAATAATAATCGTAATTATTTGATAATAATTAATAAAATAAATGAATTTAAAAAGGTTGTTTACTAATTATTAGTATATATCTTGTGCGATGCAGGGAGGAGCTAATATTTTAAATCTTTTTTTAGACTTTATTTTAAATATAATTATTTATATTTTTCACATCTCTTTCATGATGAAAATAAAATAAATACAAACAATGAAAAACATATATTATTAAATACTTTTTTTTTTCCGAAACGAAAGGAGTATTATAGCAAAATAAGCAACCGCGAACAACGTTCGAATACAAACCGGGGGCAACAACCCAACTCAAAGCAAACTAAAAGGAGAGAGGACACGCACGCAGGCGGCCTAGAGACTCAAACACATAACAACTAAGGCAAGACAACCTGCAACCTTAGCCTACTAATCAGCTAAACACAACCCTAAAACAAACCCAGCCACTGTCCACAAAGGACCTAGCCTAGTTCAGAAAACAGACCCAACATAAAAACAAAACAGCAAGCCATACAAGAATAGAAATAAAAAGCGTAACTGCAACATAAAACCAGGACCCCCCGCAGTCCCAAAGAAAGAACAAAAACCAGAAACCAGAACCCACATAAAATCTAAAAACTGCAGAAAACCAGACAACTGAGAAGCTATCAAGGGGCATGAGCCATAGCAAATTCAGACCATTCTTGCAAAGCACCCTTTATAATCATAGGTTCTGGAACTTTCTCCTGCTGAAACAACCACATGTTGCGAGTTTTCCACAACCACCACAAAAGGTATGTGGATAGTTGGATTCTGTCTTCGTGAATTGCCTCCTTACCAGTTGAGCAAATGAAATTCCACCAATTTTTTAAGTTCACATGATCAGAGCATTGTCCCTCCCATTTCACTGGACTTAGAAGCCAAACTCTAGCAGCTCTGGGGCATAAAAAGCAGACATGTTCAATAGTTTCAGCATGTTCACCACAAGTCTGACATATTACATCCAAGTCAATACCCCTTTTTTTCAAATTTAGTTTTACTGGGAGGGTTCCTGTACAACATTTCCAGATAAAATGTTTTATTTTTCCTTTGATCTTCAATTTCCACAACCTGTTCCTAGCCATCTGACCAAGAGAATCTCTGCTGCTTCCTTGGGGGATGTCCAGTGCAAGCATCTTCTGTTCAATCAAGTAAGCATATGATGTTGAAACTGAAAAAAACCCCTTTCCTATCCATTGTCCATTTCCACTTGTCATCTAGGTTGGGATTTAGAGTTCTGATCTTCAGAATAGCCTCACTCTCCAACTCCCCAAAAACCTGTTTAATAAGCCATTCATTCCAACAAGAGCCCTCAGCACTCATAAGATCACTAACCCATATTAAATGCCCCCTTGCTATTTCCAGCATGTCAGGTTTTAATTTTGTAAGAGAGGGGATCCAATTCACATCTGTAATCTTTGTTTGCTTTCCACTTCGAATTTCCACCTGAATACCCTTTGCAAAGGTAGGGAGAACCCCTAGCCAACTTCTCCACAGCCAAGATGTTGTTTGCTTACCTTCAGCTTCCAAAATTGAAGTTTGGGGAAAGTATTTGCCTTTCAATACCTTACTTACCAGTAGCTCAGTGTTAGTGGCAATTCTCCACAATTGCTTGCAAATTAAGGCCTCATTAAATAGTTGTATGTCCTGGAACCCTAACCCCCCCTCTGCATTTAGGAAGAGTCAAAGAGCTCCATTTCTTCCAATGAATTCCTTTATGATCCTCTTCTCCTGACTGCCACCAAAATCTAGCACATAAACTTGAAATTGCTTTGCAAACGGCCACTGGGATCCTGAAACATGCCATTGCATAGACTGGAAGAGAATTTATAACCGCCTTGATTAGTACCTCTTTGCCAGCCACAGAAAGCCATTTATTCTTCCAATTTAGCAGTCGAGACCTAACTCTGTCAGTGATGAAATTGAAAGTTTCGATCTTGGATCTCCCAATTCCCAAAGGAAGGCCGAGGTACCTAGTAGATGTATGCTTCGAAATACCTTGGAAAATTTCACATATATCCCTCTGCAGATGCTCAGGGGTATTCCTGCTAAAGAAAACGGCCGACTTCTCCAAATTCACTTGTTGCCCCGTGAATAACCGATACCTCTCCAGTATGTTTAAAATTTTCGTAGCTTGAGCAGGTGTCGCTTTACCAAAAAGCAGAGAGTCGTCGGTGAAAAGCAAGTGCGATATCGTCGGGCCCCCATAGTTAAGCCTCAACCCCGAATACTGATTTTGCATCAACGCCTCTGAGATGAGCGCAGAAAAAACTTCTGAGACAATAAGAAAAAGAAAAGGAGATAAAGGGTCTCCTTGGCGCAATCCCCTTGATGGCTTGATCTTCCCATGCACTTTTCCGTTTATGTTGAAAGAGAAAGAAGAGGAACAGATGCAGGCCATAATTAAATTTACGAATCTGATACTAAAACCCATCTTCATCATTATGCGCTGGACACACTGCCATTCAACCCGGTCGTACGCCTTCATCATATCGAGTTTTAGCGCCATAAAGAAATTCTTACCTGTGTGATGTCTGTTGAAGAAGTGGAAAGTCTCATGCGCAATTATTACATTATCCAGAATCTGGCGGCCTTGCACAAAAGCTGCTTGACACTCGCTAATACTGTGATGCAGGAAGTTTTTCATTCTCATTGACATAATTTTTGACAGAATTTTATAGAAAACGCTGCATAGGCTTATTGGGCGATATTGACTTAGAAACTCCGGGGAATGAACTTTTGGGATGAGTGTGACCACTGTTTGATTCCAATATTGCAGCATATTTCCAGATAAGAAAAAACTTTGAACAGCCTTCACCAGATCACTTTTTATTAAACTCCAGAATTTTTGGTAGAACATCGCTGTCATGCCGTCTTCACCCGGAGCCTTCTCGGGATGCATAGAGAACAGGGCCTCCTTAACCTCCTCTTCTAACACTGGTTTTTCCAGATATGTGTTCCTCTCCTCTGTGATAGTTCTGGGAATTAATTCCAGAATGCTGTCAGCCCCCAAGGTCCCTTCCGAGGTGAACAAATTGTTATAGAACTGAGTGACATGCTCTGTAATCTCCTGAGGTGTTTGCAGAACGTGATTCTCCTGAGAAATTAATCTTGTGATTGCATTGGTCCTCCTTCTTTGGGATGTAATAGTGTGAAAAAACCTCGTGTT